CCCTTCTTCTACTCACTGCGGCCGCTCTGCGTCCACCCCAGGGCTGTGACCCGCATGGAGGTGCTCAATGCGCTGGTGCAGCTGGCGGCCGATGTGGCCATCTTTGCCCTGTGGGGGCTCAAGCCCGTGGTCTACCTGCTGGCCAGCTCCTTCCTGGGCCTGGGCCTGCATCCCATCTCGGGCCACTTCGTGGCTGAGCACTACATGTTCCTCAAGGGCCACGAGACCTACTCCTACTACGGGCCCCTCAACTGGATCACCTTCAATGTGGGCTACCACGTGGAGCACCATGACTTCCCCAGCATCCCAGGCTGCAACCTGCCCCTGGTATGTGGCTGGGGTGGCAGGGCTGTGGCAGAGCAGAGCAGGGCTGCATGGCCATCTGAGGAGGTAGGGGCCCAGGAGGGCCTTGGGCCATGCCCAGCGACCTCCCCCTTTTGGTGCTGGTCATGGCATGGCCACTCACACTTGTCCCCAGGGCAGGAGGAAAGGTCACTCAATACCGTCGAGTTAGGGAGGCAGGGTCTGAGAGGCATTTCACAGTGGAGGCTGCTTGAAGCTTGCCATGAAGTATGCCAGAGGGCTGTGTGTTCTCTGGCAAGCTGCTTACCCTCTCTGTGTCCCAGCTTCCTCTTCCTTGAAGCAGGGTGGCGTTAGCGACACTGTGTGGAAGCACCGTCTGCAGACTCTGTCCCTGCTCATTCCTTGTCATTGCCCTGTGACCCTCCAGGGCCCTGAGAGGACAGGGCAGGCCTTGCCCTTTGCAGCCCAAGGGGCTTGGCCAGAGCTGATGAGGAGCGGAAGCCCCAGGGTTGGGCACCTCTGCCTTGGGAGACTGGGAGCTGAAGAATTTCTGAACAAGAAAGGACGAAGGGGAAGGGGAGGAGGAGCCATCCCTCAGCCATTGCCAGCCTGTGCCTTAGTGGCCTCTGGCTGCCTAGAAAGAGCTAGAGTGACCTGTAGCAAAGGGGGCAGAAAGTGGCACTGGGGTGTTCAGGTGCCTGGGAGCACCTCTGCGTGTGCACATGTCTATGTGAGCGTGTTTGCCCTGTGATTATGTGTGGGTGCCTAGTATTTGCACGTATGCAGGTATGTGCATGTGTGCCTGAGCGTGCATACATGCTCTCTGCATGTGGTTACGTGTGAGCACTTGCCTAGTTGTGCAGGTGTTTGTGCACAAGTCCCTGAACACGTTGTGTGTGCGCCCTGGCCTGTGTGACATGGATCCCTCAGACTGGTTCCAAGCCTGGGCTGTGGCCTGTGCCCTCCTTTCTGGCTGGCAGTACCAAGGCGGTGCTCTGCACTGGGGACTATCTCGCTTGAACCTCACTACAGTCCAGGAAGCAGCTGCCTCCCATCCATTATCCCTGTTGTATAGATAAAAAGGCAGAGGTGCAGGGGGAGCGGTGCCCACCTCAGGAGCTGACAGGGCACAGGGGGGAGTGGTGCTCGCCTCGGGAGGTGACAGGGCACAGAGGGGAGAGCTGCCCACCTCGGGGGGTGACGGGGTGCAGAGGGGAGCGGTGCCCGCCTCGGGAGGTGATGGGACGCAGAGGGGGGAGCTGCCTGCCTCGGGAGGTGACAGGGTGCAGGGGGAGCAGTGCCTGCTTTGGGAGGTGACGGGGCGCAGGGGGAGAGCTGCCCGCCTGGGGAGGTGACGGGGCACATGGGGAGCGGTGCCCGCCTTGGGAGGTGACAGGGTGCCTGGTGCTGGCTTTGCCTCCCATGGCCCTGCTGTCCAGGTTTTGCAGCTGGATCCCCTGCATCCTGAGAGCATCCTTAGGAGGTGACGGGGTGCAGAGGGGGGTGGAAAGGGCATTCTGTGATGGGAGTTGGAGCGGTGGGGCGGGGTGGTGGTGCAGTTGCAGGCACTGAAGCTGGGAGCACTTCCTGGAGGAGGCGGGTGGGTGTGTTGGTGCAGAGCAAAGGCTGGAGGTGTTAGCAGGTGCTCAAGAGGCCTTTGCAAAGTGACAAGTACTGAGGCTCGCCGATGCCGAGGTTGGCGGGTCACTGGGCTGAGGAGCATGGGTGTGACCCTATGGCCTGGCAGGACTCAGGTGGGCTATGCCTCAGCTGCTACCCCAGCAGTGGAGTCTGTGGATCAGAAAGTGGGGTGGGGTCAAGTGGAGTGGTGCACTGAATTCTGCAACTACCACTTGGGGCAGGGCGCTCTGAGCCAAGCCTGTGGGTGCCTCTGCCATAGTGTCCTGGGCTCAGCTCAGGCCACCAGGCACTCCAGCAGGGAGCACCAGCCTTCTGCATACCCAGGGAGGTGGGGGATGATGGTGGCAGGGAGGACTAGAGGGGGTGGCCTCGTATGTGGCTGAGCTGGACATGGGTACCCCGGAGGCTGTGATGTGTGTGCATGCATGTACACCTGTGTGTATGTGAGCAGACATGTCTGTGCATGAGCGTGTGCAAGAGCAGCATGTGCTCAGGTGTGTGCGTGTGCTTGCACGTGTGGCTCCGAGGAAAACCAGCCTCTGAGCCCCACCTCCTCTCCACAGGTGCGGAAGATTGCGCCCGAGTACTACGACCACCTGCCGCAGCACTACTCGTGGGTGAGGGTGCTCTGGGATTTTGTGTTTCAGGACTCCCTGGGGCCCTATGCCAGGGTGAAGCGGGTGTACAGGCTTGCAAAGGATGGCCTGTGAGGCTGCCTCCTGGTGGCCATCATCCCCTACCTGCCCCTCCGGTCTCTCACCCCAGCTCTGAGGGGATGCATTTTCTTCCTGCGCCCTGGGCTGCTGCCCTTGTCCCCTCGGAGCGTCCTGCACAGCACACCTCGCCACGGCGGTGTGGGCTGCAGGGCTCCATCTGCTCGTGGACTCACCCTGGTCCTTGGCAGTGGCCCTCCCTTTCCGTCCCTCACTGGGTGAGGCCTGGCCCTGCCCCATGGTGACGTGGGTGCTCTGAGCCCACGGTACCCACAGAGCTGACTTCTTGGGGTGCCTGTGCCATCCATTAAACCCGGCGTTTGTTTCACAGCCCATGGATTGTGCTTCTGAGGGGGTGCTCTGGGCTGGAGCCTGGCCCCAGAGAATGGGGCACTGGGCTGCCCCGAAGGGTGGAGCTTGAGGCCTGAGTGCCGCTTCCTCCAGGCCAGGCCCAGGTCCTGTGTGCGCTCCTGGCTCTTTGTGAGATGGTGCCTGCTGCTGGGTAGTGTCCCTGAGGGCCTGCCACTACCATGTTAACACACACTGAGGTGTTGACAGCAGAAAGCTCACTTTGGTCATCTGTGTGGCCCTGAATCCCCTCCTGGCAGCCAGGGACCCCACTCCTCCCTTGCCTGGCTGAGCCCGGCAGAGGCTGGCTCTCCAGCCTGGAGCCCAAACTGCCTGCCTCATCCCCACTCCTTGGGTCTGTTCACTTCCTGCTCTCCCTAAGCCTTCCGGCACAGGGAGTGTCCTTCAACGCATAGAGGGTCTGTCTCCCACACCAGCTTAGAGGGGGTGCTGGCTGGGCAGGTGAATGTCCTGGTGAGCCACAGCTCAGAGGGATGCGGGCCAGGCAGCATTCTGAGGGTCTGTGTGAAGTGGGCTACTTGTTGGTCCTTTCTACAGAAGGGCTGAGGGCACAGCTGGGATGTAAGAGGTTGTCTTCTCCTGGAGGGCTGGGCTGGGGTGGGTCCTGATGTCCTAGAGGTAAGTAGGCAGCAGGAGGGGTGCCTGGGTGAGGCTCTCCCTGCCAGAGAGAGATGGAGGGGCCCAGCCCTGCTGCTTCCACCACAGCCCTGGGGAAGGCAGCCTCAGCCTCCAGGACTTAGGAAGGGAGACCAAGGCTGCAGTCTGGGCTTGAAGGCCTTGCCATGAGTAGGGTCCCAGGGGCTATCCCTGCTGACCTGAGAGATGGAGGCCTCCCCCCACACCTGGGAGTGGCCTCATATGGTGCCAGGCTCCCATGTCCCTGGGCAGCCTGCTGAGTGGCACAGGAAAGCAACTTGAGCCCAGAATCTGTTCTGTGAAGGAAGCACCACTGGCCCCACACGAAGACTTTGAGCTGGGCGGCCCCTCCCTGTACACACAGGCCCGCTCACAGGCTGATGGGAGCCCCAGAGCACCCGCTCCTCCTGCTGTGTCTGAGGGGCACCTTGTCTAGCAGTTTTCTTCAGACAACACAAAGGGGCATGTCCAGGCCTCATCCACAAGCTGGAGGCCAGGCCCAGGTGTAGAGGGTGGTTCTGAAGATAGTCCTTGGAGCTCTCAGGGAGACTATAGGACCCCTGGCCTGGGTGGGGAAGCAGGAGAGAGCAGCTCTGAGCTGTGGTCTGCAGGTCCTGGGTTAAAAGTGCCACCAGACCTTGGTCCCTTGCCTCCTAAGGGGCAGAACAGTCATATTCCTGTCACTAGGGCTGCTGGGAAGCCCAAGGAGGTACAGTATGTCAGCAGCAGGAGCTGGCCCTTGAGATCAGCCACTGGGTCCCAGTATGCCAGTGCTGGCTCCCTCCCTTGCGGGGCCCGCTGGGCACACTGCTCTTGGTTGCCATGGTGGGGGGGTCACATGGGAGAACAGGGGCATGAACGGTCACAGGATCTCAAGGCCAGCCTGTTGGTGACCCTGGGTCCTAGAAGCCAAGGGTCAGAGCCTGTGTCTCTGGCTTCTGCCTCAGGGCAGGGGCCTTGGACAGGCCATTGCAGGCCAGGTGGTCCTCCCAGGAGACTTTGTGGAGCTGAGGAGCAGGCAAAGCTGCCTTGCATTTGCCCGGTGTCTACTTGAGCCCCACATCCGTCCCTCCCCTGGACAGGGCACTCGGGCCCTGTCGTCAGAATGCACACGGAGTCCTGTGGAGCTCGGGGGTGCGGGCTACACTTAAGGGCCATCTTCCTGGGGGTCCTGAGGCCCAGCCCCAGGACACTCAGCCCACCCTTCCTGGGCTTGGGAATGTTCTGAGCCAAACTTTCTGAGACCGCCATCTTGCTCCGACGACTCCTGGTCATGGTGGTCCCAGGCTCTTCCCTGAGTGAGTGTAAAGGACCAACGTGAGATCCTGAGCATGAGGGTGCGGACAGTAAACCTTTATTACTGTGTGAACACAGACACCGTGGTGCATAACAGACAATTTCAACACCATGATCGCTGGGGACGGAGCTGTGCTGGACAGCTCTGCAGTGCACGGTGGCGCCACACCGGGCCGGCTGTCACTGCCAGCTGAGGCGCTAACAGCATCACCTGGGAGAAAACCTGGAAACCATCTAATGAAGCAGGTGATTTAGGGGTGTCTCTCTATAAACCAAAAGAAATGTACACTTAAATAAGCAAATATAAAATACAAAAAAGACAAGTAGACCTGGTGTTCTGTGTCAGGTAGAATCTAAAAAAATCCAGGAGTTGCACTTGGTTTCCTCACTGTAACGTGTGATCACAGGTCGGGAGGTTTCTCGGCAGTGCACCTGGGCTCCCGTGTGTGCTCTGGTGCGCTGGAGTCTGGGGCTGCCTGGGCTCCTGGCTGTCCTCCATCGCCAGATGGGCTCGACATCGCAGCGCAGCACAGCTGGCCCCCTACGTGGTGCTGATCCCACTCAGCTCCTGCCTGATGGCTGTGGAACAGGTGGTGGCAGCTCAGGTGCAGCCATGGTGAGTGCAGTCCAGCTCCTCATCAGGGCCCTGCCTGGAATCTGCTCCTGCCCCATCCCCTGGGAGCCCAACCCAGGCTTTGGGGCAGACCTCTGGGATGACGACAAAAGGCTTTGTGGGCTCATCCGCCATTCCTCCTGTGGTGGCCCCTGCTGCCACTGCCCTGTTAGGGGAGGACCTGGCTCGGGACAGAGGGTGGTGCCCTGCCTGTGGCTCACTGCTACTGAGGCATGGTGGCACTGGGACCCTGGTGTGAGGAGCTGCTCTGTGTGGGGATGCAGGGTCTTTGTAGGCTCTGGACAGGTGGCTACCGAGGTGCCAGGGGCCTGGGAGCCCTTCGCCCAACAGAGTGGAGGCCGAGGTTCTGCCCTCCGTGCTCCTGCAGGGGCAGCAGGAAGTCCTGGCCCTGGCTCTGCTCACTCCCCAGGAGACGCAGGGGCCTCTCTTGTCTCCTCCTGGCTTTCTCCCCACCCCAAGCTAGTGCTCCAACTCTATGCCTCCCAAATTTGGGCTTTTCCCTCCTTCCTCTGCTATCTGTCCCCTCCCTGACTCCCTCTTCTCTATGCCAGCTCAGGCCTCTCCCTGGATGGACCCTGTTGGGGCAAGAGCCAACAGCCAGGGCAAGGCAGGGGGTGGCAGGGGCAGGCATCTCCCAGCCACAGGGAGCTGCTTCTCAGAGCCCCTGGCATGGCCCATGCCTACCCCTTCCCAGGCTCTCAGCCAGGGTGGTTTCCTGGGGCTGTACCTGTGGCAGGCAGAGGCTGTGGAGGGCCCTTGGTTTCTGACCAGCTATGCCTGGGGCTGGAGGGTGCTCAACAGTAAGGTAGTGTTACCAATTAGCCGGGTAGACTGCCTCACATTCCCTCATTTGTTAACTCCTTATCTCCCCAGCCCAGGCCTTTGGTCAAACTGGACAAACAGGAACTGAGTGCTCTCTGCTCAAACAAGGGCGGGCCGGCTAGGGAGGAGGCCTGGGTCTTCGGACTCCCACCTGTCTCTTCCCTCTGCCATCAGCCTCCACCCCTGTGTGCTTGTGGGACCCTTTTGCTCAGGTCACTGCAATGTCCTGGGGGCCAGACCCAGCTGCACACCAGGTGTGAGCCTTCATCGCCCTAGTGGGGGAGGCAGGTGGGAGCTGGCACTGGCTGCACTGCACAGCTCTGACCCAGGGCTGAGTCTGCCCTGCCCAGACCCACCCCCTCTTCCTCTGGCTGCAGATCTGAGCCAGCACCCTCAAAGGCTCTGGTGGGAACCGGAAGGACGGATGTAATGCACTGAGACCCGCCCTGCTCTGGAGCCAGAGGCTGCTTCCCACCTGCTCCCCAGCCCAGGGCCAGGCAGGCTGTGGCTCAGGCCTGGAAAAGGTTTCTGTGGCCCTTGGTCTCCCTGCACCCCCAGGAAGGCAGAGTGGTTCTCTCAGAACCCCAACACAAGTGACTGGAGGTGGCAGAATCAAGACGGCAACATAAAACACCAGGGGGTGAAATGACAGACGCTCAGGTGGCTTCCTCCAGACCTGGCTCTGTAATGATGTGGGGTCTGCCCTCCATGCACCTCCCACGTGGGTCCTCGGGGAAGGTGCACAGGGATGTGGAGGGTCTCGGATTTGGATGTCATGCTACCGGGAGCTGCACATTCTTAGGCAAGTCACTTAGCTTTCCTGAGCCTGTTTCAACTACAGATCATAAGAATGAAATCTCTTATAGGGTGGGCTCTGCTCAAAACTGCAGGCCCCCACCCTGGGTGACAGGGACCCCTGTCCTGCAGCCCCCTGGGTGCCGCCCTCCCCAGCGGGGGTTCCACTCACCATCGATGATCTCCTCCTTCACCTTGTGGAGCTCTCTGACCACCTCCTCTAGGATCTCCTGTTGGAGAGGAGCGTCCAGGTGAAGGGACAGGCAGTGGAGACGGAAAAGCCGGCCTGGGCTGGGCCATGTTCAAAGGGGTCAGGGTCTCCTGGACCTCTCCAGAGTCACATCTGTCACCCTTGCCTCCTTGTGGCCCCCTTCCCACGCTGAGGGGGGACAGTGTGGGAGGTCTGGAAAATCCTACAGCTGCCTCTCTCAGGCAGATGCGGCTGAAACTAAGGGCTGCCCTAGGGAAGAAAACCCCTGAGGCGGGCCTAAGGGAGGTGCCCAGAAAGGTTGAGGGACATCTTAGTTCTGGTGACAGCAGGGGCTGGGGACAAGGGACGAACTTAGTCACCCCCTTTCCGCCACGGCTGCTCCCTGACTGGCTTTTTGGCAGCCACATGTGGGCCCCCAGGGCCTGCCTGGCTGTGCTGGTCAGAGACGGTCCCCAGCCTGCTGGCTGCCCTCAGCATCTGAGAAGGGTACAGGGCATACTCACCTGCTTCATCCGGTCCAAGTCGAAGGCATCCACGGCCACGTCATTCACGCTCCCAGCAGGCTTCATCCTGGGAGAGGAAGGGTGGATGCGGTAAGTGGGAGCAGGGCTGCGGGTGCCCGGCTGGAGGCGGGTGTGGGGCAAGCTGGCTGTGCAGAGGGCCTGCTCAGGCCAGGCCCACCTGTGCCCCTCACTCCACAGAGGCTGCTTGCTTCGGACTCTGGCCACCTCACACTACTTGAGAAGGACTTCATGCGAAGTCTCTATCCCGAGAGGCTCTCCAGGGATACTGTGACCGTACTTCCCAACCCAAGAGCCAAGGCTGCGGTAACAAAGGAACTACTTTCTGATCAGAGCTCTTATGCAGAGGTGGCAACTTAAGCAATGACACTGAACCCACCTGTTGCCTCCCTGGAAAGAAAATGGTATCAACAGCCTTCTCCTCAGGGTGGGAGCTCATGCTCCAGGTTGAGCTGGGGCTTGGGGAAGCAGCAGCAGCGGCAGGAAGTACGTGACGCTGTGGAGTTCACACCAGTCGGTGTGCTCCTGACACACACTAGCGTCCCTGGTGCTGGAGCCAGCTTGGGCACAGCACGCCTCCCCCAAGAAACACCCTCCCATGTGGTTTCGCTTTTTTTTTTTTTTTTTGAGACAGTTTCATTCTTGTTGCCCAGGCCGGAGTGCCACGGTGCAATCTCAGCTCACTGCAACCTCCGCCTCCCAGGTTCAAGCGATTTTCCTGCCTCAGCCTCCCAAGTAGCTGGGACTACAGGCATGTGCCACCATACCCGGCTAACTGTGTGTTTTTAGTAGAGACAGTGTTTCTCCATGTTGGTCAGGCTGGTCTCAAACTTCCAACCTCAGGTGATCCACCTGCCTCAGCCTCCCAAAGTGCTGGGATTACAGTCGTGAGACACCTCGCCCAGCTGGTTTTGCTCTTTCGAAGTAGTTCTCATGGACTACTACTTTGAAAAGTTTCTGAACTAAGGTAACTGACTTGAATTTTATTTTTATTTATTTGAGACAATGTTTCACTCTGTCACCCAGGCTGGAGTGTAGTGGCGTATCACCCTTCACTGCAGCCTCAACCTCCCAGGCTCAAGTGATTCTCCCATCTCAGTCTCCTGAGTAGCTGAGACTATAGGCATGTGCCTCCCCGACCACCCCACCCCGAGATGGAGTTTCGCTCTTATTGCCCAGGCTGGAGTGCAATGGCGTGATCTCAGCTCACCACAACTTCTACCTCCTGGGTTCAAGCAATTCTCCTGCCTCAGCCTCCCCAGTAGCTGGGATTACAGGCATGTGCCACACGCCCAGCTAATTTTGTAGTTTTAGTAGAGATAGGGTTTCTCATCCTGACCATGCTGGCCAGGATGGTCTTGATCTCCTGACCTCGTGATCTGCCCACCTTGGCCTCCCAAAGTGCTGGGATTACAGGTGTGAGCCACCGAGCCCAGTCCCTATTTTTTAACTTTTTGTAGAGACGGTGTCTCACTGTGGCTGGTCTAGAAGTCCTGGGCTCAAGTGATCCTCCCATCTCGGCCTCCCAAAGTGCTGGCATGACAGGCATGAGCGCCATGCTGGCCTGATTTGAATGGTAATGTCTCTTGGCCAGACATGGTGGCTCACACCTGTCATCCCAGCACTTTGACAGCCTGACGTAGGTGGATCATGAGGTCAGGAGATTGAGACTATCCTGACCAAACATAGTGAAACTTCATCTCTACTAAAAATACAAAAAATTAGCTGGGCATGGTGGCACACGCCTGTAACCATGGGAGGCTGAGGCAGGAGAATGGCTTGAACTCGGGAGGAAGAGGATGCAGTGAGCTGACATCACGCCATTGCACTCCAGCCTGGGCAACAGAGTACGACTCTGTCTCAAAAAAAAAAAAAGTCTCATAAGTGCATTTTCCCTGGAAGATCTTGGCCAAATGCCCATCTACCTGGTCTTTTAAACATGATTTGGTGCTGAAGGACACACTGCTGGGACCCAAGTTCCCTCCCACACGGACAGGATGGAGGCTGCAGCCTGTGGTTTCAATGAAGTGTATGTGGCCTCAGCCCGTGGGTGTGACCATGGGCACATACACATTTATCTGGCAGGGCCAGGCTTGGCTGCTGAGGGGTCATGGGCACAGATGAGGACCATCTGGTGACACTGAGGACCAGTGTTGCCCACAGCTAGGGGGAATAAGGATGAAGAATGAAGTCTTCTCACACCCCTCCACATGAGCTCAAGAAAGAGGCCAAGCCTAGCCCTAAACAGGTCTGTCAGTAATTCTGGGTCCTGAAAGGCAAACATATCCAGCCAGAGGCCCCTGGGTCCTTCAGGCCTCTCCTGTGGGTTCCAGATAAAACTGCTGGGAAACCTGGGCTGACTGCTCCACCTCGCCAGGCCTGGGCCCTCTCCATCTGCACCCTTGACAGCCACCCAGCGATACACACAGCAGGCTTCCTAAGCAATGGAACACACTAGAGGGGTGATGGTATATGCTCCCTTTGAAGCCATCTAGAATTTAGAAAACAGGTTTGTCTCAGACTGAAGAGAGACCCTATTCCAAGCATGAATGGCTTTGACAATGATCCTGCCCAGTGAGCAACCCTTGGCCCCTCAGAACACTGCAGCCCACCTTCACTCCAACAGCAGACCACGGCCGGGAGCACTGCAGGCTACCCCGGCTGCCGTGTCTGCTCCAGGGCCCTCGCTTCGCCCGCTCTGGTTGCCTTCCCCTTCCCAGCCCCCATCATGGCATCCTGTGCCTCAAGCTCCCTGACTGGAGCCCTGCATATGAATCCAATGCAAACTTCTAACTCCTCATTCCCTCATACCCTCTTCCTCACCCTTCCTGTTCCCATGCCCCATGGCCTGCTGTCTGCTCCGAGGTGCGAGCTGCAGGAGAACTTGGCAGGTGGCTGCAGGCTCAGGGCCCTGGCACTTACCCTTCCTTCAGCTTGGAAGGCTGTCCCCATGATCTCCGCACAGCAGGCTCCTCCTCGTCCGGGTCAATGAACTGCCAGCTCCCAACGGAGGCCTGCCCTGCCCCACTCCCCAAAGCACCCTGTCCCTTCCACCATGTGGCCCCTGCCCTTGCTGGAGCACCCCTCAGGACCACAGGGGCCTTGTTCACATGTGATCTTTGCAGCAGGGACTGTCCCCAGCACATGGCCTGGCTGGCCACAAGCCTTTGACAAACCCCAGCTGACCGCTAAGCTTTCCTCATCTCTGTCCCCCTGCCCTGGTCTTGGCCATTCCTGCCAGTGACAGGCCAGGGCTTGCTTGGCTCGTCACCTGTTTTGCTCCACAAGGCCAGTTTCAATGCCTCCTGCTCTGTGACAAGGGTGGTTTCCCTTCAATTTCTGGTGGCAATGGAGACATTTCTTGATGCAGGTCCTAGAGGGCTTTATATTCAGGCCACGTGGGCCTCCAGATACGACGTGGCTGCCTGCGCCTTTTTGGGCAACCTCAGTTCCAAATATTCTATTGTGTTGTCACGTCAGCTTTTGGTTTAGGAAATATGGTCAGCATGTCTGGGGGAAACTGGCTCTGTGCTGGACGCAGAGGAAGGACTCTGGGCTGGAGGAGAGGGTGTGAGGCTCAGAGCCAGTCCTAGGACTAGCTGAGCTGTTGGGTGCAGCCATGCCTAGTGACCACGTCCAGCTGTTTGCACAGGTGTCCCCACTACTGCCCTGTGCAGTAGGGATTCACAGACCTGTTTTGTGGGGGGGAAACAGAGGCTTGGAGAGGTCCCCTAACTTGCCCACTGTCACAAGTAGAGTCCAGAGCTGGGACTCCAAGTGAACCCCCTGCACTGAATCTGTAGGCAGGTCACTGCCCTCCCCGGGCCTCGGTCTCTCCCTCAGAGGGAGGAGGAGGAGCTGACCGACAGGACCCTAGGGTCCTGGGTCTAAAAGAACAGATCACCTTCCCAGAGCAAGCTGTTAAATGCCAAGACATGAGACAGGGTACAAGGTGTTAGTCACAGGACAGGGGACAGAGGAGCTCCAACCCTGGAGAACATGTGAGCAGGAGGGTTGTTCAGTACCTAGAGTGAGGCTGCAACTGAAGGGGGCTCTTAGCTTCGGGGCTCTTTGCCACAGACGGGGTTCTACAGCATGGAATGAAACAGACATGTGAATCGGCGCCAGCACCCGCCTCTGCCCCCCTAGCCTCGCTGCTCAGGCCTTCCGGGCCGCTCACCTGGACAGAATCGAGGATACAGGCTTCTCCACCGAGTTGCTCCGCTCCCAGGGCTTCCGGCCAGCGTCTGTCAATTCAGTTCAAGAACCTCAGAGCTGAGAGGACTCAGTAGCCACCCCAATCCCCTCAACACCCAAAAGGAAGCTCTCCCCAATGTCAAGGGTGCAGAGCCCCATGGCAGGAAGGTCTGATTTGAGCCGAGCCAAAACCTGGCTTCTTGTTCTCAGTCCCCCATGGCCTAGGCCAGCCCCTTGAGGGCTTTAGATGGCACCACTGTCACCCTGTGTTTCCCCTACTCCAGGACTCAAGCTTCTCTTCTCTTGACCTGGTTGACCCTGACCTGTGACCTCGTTCTGAGTCCTTCACTGTGGTCAGGTCTCTCTGGAACATGGGCCTGCTGGTAAGCGACCCAGTGAACGGAGCCACAGGGCAAGCAGGCAGGACCTCCCCGGACACTCCCAATGCAGCCTTGCTCCCATGAGCTATGCAGCGGCCAGGCCCCGAGGCCCAGCACCTGCTATTGATGGGCTCCTTAGCTGGCCCCCATGCTGTGCCTGGCTCTGTCCCACTCAGCTGGCTTGTCTTTTCTTTTTCAAGGTAAGTGGTATTGGATTATATTCCATTCTACTCCAAAAGATTTGTTGCATTAAGTTGAATTTGTTGACTTTGCAGGATGAGCAGAGGCAGAACACAAAATCTCTAGGGGTAGTAGGGAAGCTGCCTGGCCTCGAGCTGAGCCGTGGTACCCTGCAGACCAACTGTAGGACTAAGGTAGTTTTCCTCAAAGCCACCTTCTGGGACAGGTGCTGGGCCTGCAGGCACTAGACCTGGGGCCACAGACACGTCCCAGGTGTGTGGCCTTGAGCAAACCACTTATAGCACAGATGGAAACACAGAGCCCACTCACTGGGCTGCTGTAAGAAGCAAACAGGGCAGGGGCATTGTTCATGTTCATCAGCCAAGAACCTATGCATCCTGGCAAATCGACATGCCAGGCAAAGTCCTAGGAGGAGGGGACATGGCATACAGTCTCGCAGGTGGCAAGCGCCTCCCCTGCCCAGCTTGGGCAGCCTGATGCCCCTGCCTCTCCTCTCCATGCTCATGAGCACAGGCCTGGCACAGAGCAGGTGCTGCCCCAATGTCTGTCGAATCCCACTTCCTCTTAAGGCTTATGTAGAGAACCTCTGCCCTTTTCACCTCATCATTCTCTCCTTCCTCCTTCCCACCTGCCACAGCTTAGACAGGGAGAAACCTGAGCCAGGGAAGGGGCTGCGTTTCGGTGGAGTAAGATCCACTGCTATCTCTGTAACGCTGGTCACCAGCTGGTGTTTCACCGGAGACATGAGTCCTGACACTGACCCTCTTAAGACCACTGGCCCCCGCCTGCACTCAGGAGCCCTGGACACAAACCCCAACCCTGGATATGTGCTGTCAGGCAAGTGCCTTCCCTCATGCGGGACTCAGGGTCCTGGTGGGAAGGAAGCTGTCGCGCAGGCCACCCTGGGGACCCATCACGGTGACTCTGCTCTAGCACTTTGTATGCTCCCATATGGGCTCCTGGGGGGCGCACTGGGGGACTCATAAGAACTGGGCTTCCCTGTGGCCTGGCCCTCTGCTCAGGTATACTGAAGAGGCTGAATCAGAGAGTCCTCTTCGAAGGGTGTTCCCCCAACTCTGAGACCTCATGCCTCACATGCCCCCTTGCCCTGTTTGCTTCATACATGAAGTCAGGGTGGGGGCGCCCTCTCACCTGAGGAGTTAGGTGGCTGGCTGGCTGCTCGGGTCCCCGGAGAGGGGGAGGTACTAGGATCTTCCTAAAATGGAGAAGAAGGGAGTCTGTTTAGGAAGGCTGCTTGGGGCTGGGGCAGGACACCACTGGGCACTCTATAAAACCTCAGTTTTCCAAATGTTCCCAGTGAACACATACTTTTAAAATTAGAAAATTTAAATCGAAAATTTAATTTAATTAAATATTTAAAACTGAAAGCCCAAAATCTCAGTGGGGAGTGGATCCAGCCTATGGACAGATCTGGGGAAGGGGAAGGCTGCAGGGAGCTCCAGGATCTTTGCAGAGGAGTGTGGAACTCCTTTCTGGCCCTCAACACCCCAAGCCCTGAGCCCCATGGGCCAGATGCCTCCTGCGTGTCATCTCGCTGACTTCTTGCAAGCACCCCGAGGAGGGACCTACCCCCCCATGTGGCACACACACAGCTGCCCCTGTAACAGGTCTGTGGCAACGCTCGAATAGTGGATGTGTTCATCCAACTGTGGGAACACCCAACACTCGCTGTGCATGGATGTGCGTCAGGATGATTTTCAGCATCAAGAACATGCCATTAAGTAATAAGAGTAACCCTCTCACTTGATGAAGCAGAATGCACAGCATTGGAGCTGCTGATGGGCAGCCATCCAATCTGACATGTAACTGTGATCCCAAGCAAAGAACCTCTGCCCTTGTCACCATGGGCAGAGGTCTTTTGTCGCCTCTGCTCACTATGTCCCCACACAAGAAGAGGCGTGGCACCTATCAGGAATACCCTGCGTTATCTGTGGGGTGAATAAAGTCCTGGAAGGCTCTGGTTGAGGGCAAAAGCAGGTACCAGGCTGTAGGTGTTGGGATGAGGTCCTCAGGCCTCCTCATTTTAAAGATATCTGAAGAACAGATTATGTCAATCAACACACACGTGTGGGGGCCAGGATGAAAGCTATATAGGGTGACATTAGAGTCAGTAAAATATTAGATTTTTTTCCTTTTTTTTTTTTTCTGGACAGAATCTTGCTCTGTCACCAGGCTGGAGTGCAGTGGCGCAATCTCAGCTGGCTGCAACCTCCACCTCCCAGGTTCAAGTGATTCTCCTGCCTCAGCCTCCTGAGTAGCTGGGACTATAGGCAAACACCACCACACCCAGCTAATATTTGTATTTTTAGTAGAGACGGGGTTTCACCATGTTGGCCAGAATGGTCTCGATCTCTCAAGCTTGTGATCCGCCCACCTTGGCCTCCCAAAGTGCTGGGATTACAGGCGTGAGTCACTGTGCCCAGCCTTTTTTTAACTTTTTTTTTTGGAGGGGGAGGGAGGCTGTTTTTTAAGGAGTAAGGCTTATGTAGAGAAGTGCAGGCTGAGTGGGAGCTGGCGGGTCAGGCAAAGGGACCCATATGTGCCCAGGTCCTGAGTGCAGGAGTGCAGGACAGGGCTGAGAGGCGCGGAAGAGCCAGGAAGGACAGAGCCCTGAGGTCACACCAGCATGGCCCTGACTGATGGGAAGACAGGGCAGGAAGCCTGCTCTCGTCCCTGGCACTTGCATTTCCTTTGTCATTCTGCACTTTATGCCATTTGTAGCTAAGGCTAAACTTAGCCTTGTCAGTAGGAATCTTTTTATAGGAAAAGCTTAACAGAGAGAAAAAGAGATGTAGCTGCCCTAAGTGGAAGCAGCTGCTGGGAGCTCTGGTAGCCAGACTGGCTCTGGGCTGCTTGCTAAGAACAAGAGCCAGGAGTCCTGGGCTTCTTTACCACAGCTTACCTGAAGTTCCTGCTGGAAGAGGGGTCTTTAGAAACAGAAATAATCTGAAAATAAAAACCTCTCTGAGCTTCTAGCAGACATGACCTACTGCAGTGTACTCGTGGAGTCCCAGTCCTCTGACGAGGCCCTGGCTTCTCTGTGCTCCCCGGGGTTCCTGGGCAGGCAAGGTAGCCCGGCGGTGTGGTGCCAGGGCCTTAGGCTTCTCCCCTGCTGGGCTGCAGCTCCAAGGGTGGAGCAGCATCTGGTCAGGGGTGCTCAGTGAGGGTAGGCCTGCTGCTGGGGCCAGGGTGGCGCAGGGGCAAGTGCTGCACAGACCCTCCTGTCAATCACCTGATGAAGCGCCCATCCCACCCGTCCCATGCACGTCCCAAAGGCCTCAACTGTGATCAGGGAGCCTCCCTGCTGATGTACTCATCTCAGTGGGAAGCCTGAGGGCTGAGGGCTGCTTCCTCACCATTTGGCTTTCATCTTCCTTCTTCTCAGCTGGCTTGTCTGACTGGGAGGCTGCTTTTCTCCTAGGCACAGACAAGGGGAAGATACAGATCAGCTTTTCAGGTTCTCTCACTGTCCCAGAACTCTTCTGCCTCCTCCCTGCCAGACTCACCCCAGTCTTCAGATAAACCTGTGCAGGAAAATGATGGCATGAAGAAGGAGGCTTGTCCAGGCCCACTCTGGTGAGGAGCCAGGCCCGGGTGAGTGTCCAGGCCCTCTGTGTGCTCATGGCCTGGGACATGAAACTGGTTTAGGTGGAGAGGGTGAGACGACCCTGTGTCTGTTTGGCTGTACTGGTAGCAGCTGTAGCATCCAAGGGGTGGAGGAGGCAGTTGTGCTCTGTTCCCAGGACACTGAAGGCCTGGCTACACGGGACGGACAGGCACCTCTCCGGGCTGCAGTCTGTCCCACAGGTCGGGACACTGGACACTTTCCTTTGTCACCCTAAGGCCCTCCTGTCTTGGATTCAGTTAACCAAGCCACACCCTCTCTAATCTAGAATCTAGGATGCCACTCAGGGCCTGGAAATGCTAAGAGGAGCCTTGGAATAGCTCACATGATGTCCTTGAGTAGCTTCACACACCTCCCCTGCTATGAATCCCTGTTTCACATATTCTAAAACCTCACCCGTATTGTTTTGGCCTCAGTGGTATCTGCTGACCTCCCACGTCTACACAGGCAGACCCTCAGTGTTCCCCAGAGATATGTTTCTGTGGTTCTTAAACTTGAGATGAGCTGCCCGTCAAGCATGGAGCTGGTCTGAGGCATGGTGAGGGGCCGTGGCCAGGCTGTCACCTGTCTGTGATGGGCCCACACGGCAGCCTCTTCAGCTGCAGCAGGGGCCCCTTCTTTAGCTCTCATCTCAGCACAGGTCTGCCCACCTTGTTCCTCAGCCCAGTAACCAGGGAATCATCCCTGATACCAGCTTCTTTTAACAGTCACCCTGGTCAGTTCTACCTCTGAACCTTTTTTCTGTCTTCACTTTCAACACCTTCCTACAAGCCCCCATCATCTCTTCCTGGACTCTCAGAGTCTCGTAACTGGCCTACCACCGTCACCACCTACTCCCTAGCAGCCAGCGCCCCATCTCCTAGAAACAGAAAGCTGACCAAGCCACCCACTCGAGTGGAGTATAGGTGGGAGAAAGTGCTGCTGAACGGGAGCTCTCTGTCCATATCATTTCCCTCCTGTCTTCCCCTGCTGGGAGAGAGACTCAACTGCATGCCCTCAGGGCAGGAGACAAGAACCTGCATTAAAAGAAACTTTGCAAGGGCAAGGGCACTCTCTTCATCAGCTTCACCCAGTAGCCATCACTAAAGTAGATTTCAAAGGGCAATCTGATTGATCTCTGCTAAGCTATGCAAAGCATGTTCTTGGGAGGGCCTGGACCCTCCCACCACCATCTGGCATCTCACTGGCTCCGGGCAGTATCAGCCTTTTCCTGTTCTCAAAAAGGTGCTTTCCCTCAACCTGGTCTAGGACTTAGGGAAAGCATTAATATTTTCTTTTCCAAAATGATTTCTATTCTCTGCAGCCCATCCTTGCCTCCGAGATGAAACCCGATGCCCTGCACCACGAGGCTCCCTCTCCCAGCCTGACTCTTGGTCTATTTCCTCCACACCCAGCTCTCCAGACACAGGGGGCATTAGCCTTCCCAGGTACCTTAACTCCGCCCACTGTCCCTCTTACTGCACAGGAGTTCTCATCCTTCTGCCAGCCCTCCCGGCTCTCTCATCCATGGAGCCATGTGCCTCTGTTGTGACCACTGTCAGCCCTGCACACCTGGACTTACTATCATAGGAAATTGCTCAGAAGCCTGCCTCCTGTCTTGGCGATTTACATACACCCAGGCTGTGCCCCTGCCATGAAGCGCTACACCAGCTGCCTGCACCTGTGGGCCTCTGTCATCTCACTTCATCCTCATGGAGCCATGGGAAGGTAATGAGAGGAACTAGGGCTACAGTGTGAAAACCCTGGGCATACACTTGTGTCAGCCAAAATTGGAAGGCAGCTGGGAGGGCCAGGAGAAGGCAACAAAGCAGCAGGGGGGGTGGGGGCACGGTTACCAAGGGAGCAGAGCCCCTGGTGCAGCTTTCTGTATTCTGGCTGGTGAGGCCTGCTCCTGTGCCCTTTGGTGCCTCGGTGAGCCACGACATTGGTAGTCCAAAGTGAGCACATTCCCAATGCCAAGTCATATTTAAAAATAAAATCCAAGCTTTGCGTCTCTTTTGAGAAAGACCTGGATGATCTCCCTACCTGCCTGGGTTTCAGTTGGAGAACAGCAGAGAGCAACAATGGCAGGCTGCAGTGACACCTGCTGCAGCAAGCAGACACACATGACCAGGTCCTAGGCCCTAGAGGCCAGGATGCAGATGGAACTGTGCTCGCTCCATTGCTCAGGGCAATGCCTTCTGGGCTCCTACCCTTCATAACTACTTTTCCTGAGTCCTCCATAATGAACCCTGGAGGATGGGACACCTTCGCCATACATTCACTACAGTGTCCTCTGCAAACCCAAGCACTGCGGCCACATCTTATTTCTGTTAGGATCTTAAAAGCAGGGACTTTTTCACCCCTGCATTTATCTCTGAAATTATCTCCAAATTTATCTCTGCTCAGGACAGGGCTGGTACATGGTAGATGTTTCAGAAAATACTTGCTGAGCTAAAATGAAAGCTTTGGAGTGTAGAGGACTCCCATGGCCTTGCTGCTTCAGACTAACCCCTTGGGAAGGGAAAACTTAAGTAACAGTTCCCCCTGCTTGGCTAAACCCAGGGAACGAAGGATTCTGGGGTCAAACAAGGATTCTCCATGCGGTGCTGGGGCCAGGAGCTGCCTGCTAGGCACACCAAGTCTTGGGAGGTGCAAAGACCCACCTCTTGGCCAGCAGTTTGTTCATTTCCTCCATGAGGCCTCCTCCGCCACCCCCGCTGCTTGCCCGGTTGGCATCGGACTTTGAGGTCCCACTGGGACTGGAGCCTCCAGATGCATCTTCTGGCTGAGGGAAGAAGAGGCCACGTTTTAGACTCTGCTGCTGATGGCAGAATAGGGGCCAGCGCCTACGTGAGGGGATGCAGAAAACTGTGTGCATGTGAATCCTACGACGGCAGTGCTGCAAGGCACCTGAGGGGCCATCTAGTCCATGATTCCCCAACACCATGGGGAGAAAACCAAAATCGAGAGAGGGACAAGGACCAGCCCAGGTCATACAGGTCGCAGACACTCCCCAGGCCTGCAGGCTGATGGTTGGTGTCTTTGCCAAGACCAGACATGACACATGGGGGGAAGGAAGGGAGAAGAGACTATTCCGTGGGAAGGAAACAAAATGTAAGCCAAAGGTCTGTATCAGAGCTATTCTCACAAGCACAGTTCCAGAACACATGAGCAGGGGTTAGGGAAGTTAACAGCCGGGTGGACCCGTTTCCATGATACAGCTTCCTACAGTGGAAAGGGAAATGGACTTAGATTCAGGAGACCCAGGCTTGAGTCCAAAATCTAAAACCTATAAATGGTGTGACTTGAGCAAATTACTCGAGCTCTTCGTGCTTCAATTTCCTCATCTACAAAGGGGACATATTCTTGCCCCACCTATGGAGGTGAACGTGAGGCTCAATAGCTAGCTAAAGCACCTTAAAATTTCAAAGTGTGGTCCCACAAGTGTTCTTGTGTGAGAACAAGTGGCCAAAGGGCCAGCTAGCTTTGGGTAGGGAAGCAGTTTGCTCAGTGTCTCGAAGATGGGGGAAGGAACACAAGTGCTCTGCAGATGGCGTCAGGGTCCCCCCGTCCCACTCCTGCCCCGTGCACAGGAACTCTTACCCGTTGGACTCTTCTCAGCTTGGCTCCAGCTATGGCAGCAGCCAGTCCTGACATGGAGCTCTCGTCATGGCTGGCCCCCTGGGCTCCTCCGGCTGGCAATGGGGGTGGGGGAGGTGGTGTAGCCCCCGTGGGTGGAGGTGGGACAGGGGGTGGGGGTGGTGGTGGAGGCCCACTACATGAGATGGGGGCGCTGGCTGCAGATGAGGGATGCCCCGGTGGGAGGATGGGCCCTGAAATGCAACAGTGAGGTTCAGCCAGCTCCAGCATCCAGCTGGGGGCTAAGCCGGCTGCTCTCAGCTCAGGTTCCCTGGAGGAAGGACAGAGGGCAGGCTGCTCCTCAGAGGGATGAGGAACAGCTCTGGGCCTGCTTCACCCAGGAAGCCCCAGCGGGATGAACTTGGCCCTCGCACAATTATTCCCTATTCTGGTATCCTTAGCACTCCGGGGCCTGGCTGGACTCATAGTATCCTGTATTTGCTTAACATTTCTTGAGCCCAGGCAATTTCCTCTCACTGCAATCACGTTTTTCCAGGGGGAGAGGAAGCTCTCTGGCTACACAATTTGTGCTATTTCTCTTCTCTACTACTTCTAAGTACCTAGCATCCCCAAGGCAGAAACTGGTCACCAAGGTCCAACTGTGACAGACACTCAGCCTTTGGGGACCATGGCAGGTACTGCAGGTCCCAGGGCCGACTGGGGGTGTGGGTCAGCGTGCAATGCTAAGTGCAGTGCTGAGGAGAACCAGCCTCCAGCTCTCTGCTCATGGTGCTCACAGCCTGTGAGGAACAGGTAAAGCATCACACAGGTGCATGCAGATGGCAGACTATGGCAAGCTGACACGTGCTACCAAGGGCAGGCACATGGCGCCGTGTTGGCATATGCAGAGGGGCTCCAGCCTGGCCAGAGGTTCATGGAAGACTTCCTTACAGAAGTGACTGGTGCTGGCACATGACTAGAGAGCAGGGGTTCAGTTAGGTGAAGTGGGGAAGCAAGTATGAGGAAGGAGAAGGATGGGAAATGTCTGTGAGGCACTAGAGGGAGAGAGGGTGGGCACGGGCTATTCCAAGAGTGACAGCGAAGGGCCATGATAACAGCGTCAGACCTGCATGAGAAATGAAGAGGCCGGGGGCAGGTGGCCTGTGACAGCTCGGTGGGGGTGACAGCGTCAGTCAGTATCTCATGGGCAGGGGCTCGGGTTTCTCATCAGTAAACAGTATAATAATCATCTGCTCACTTCATAGGGTGTTTGAGAAAATTGAACAAGACAAAGGACATGAAAGCACTTGGAAATTATCAAGCCCTTTGCCTATCCGTGAATACAATTTCTGGAAAACTCTTGTCCTTCTCCTTCAATGTGCTAACCTCTATGGAATGTCCAAGCTGGACGCGTGGCAGGGCCTCCCATGGGAAGTCTTCCCTGATCCAGGCTGGGCCTTCAGCACCTGCACCTCACATGACATAAGGGTGGGTTTGTCGTTTCCCTGACGGGGCAGTGGGCTCCCTGAGGGCAGGAACCGCAGCTGTGGTTGTGGTTGTGTCCCCAGTCCTTAGCACAGTGCCTGAGACATGGGAAGCGCTCGCTGAATGTCCACTCCAGAGAAGGTTGGTGGGCAGAGGTCAGACTCGGCTGAGCGGAACCCCAAGCCTCTGCTCTCTTGCTCCCCTCCACCATCTGAAGTGGTGGTCACACTTGGAAATGTAAGCTCCCCTTAGCTACTCACAGAGCACCCCACGTGCCCCTGGTCTCATCTATGTGGAGGGGCTGCCGCCGGCACCAGCATGAGAGTTGGCCCTGGAGGAGGAGGGCTCTCACCTGTGGCCGAGGTTCTTCTTTCTAGAGATTCCTGACGCTGCTGCTGGTGCTGCTCCATCACTTGTCTGAAAAGCAACCACAGTGGGGCAGTCTGACTTCTCCACACCAGAGAGCAACATGCTCATTGCCTACACTGTGCATGTGAGCCCTGGCTTCAGTCAGGTTATGCCAGTGCTCCACAAGTGCCACTGTGTGCCTGGGCTGCCTCCTCCTAACAGAGGAGGGGGACGTGACTGGTTCCAGCTCCCAAAAGTGGGAGCACCGGCTGTCCCCTGAGTCTCAAGAACACTGAACACAGCAATACTCATGGAAGGCCAACGTGATTTCACTCCCTAGAGTTACCAAGCTCTTCCCTGGTTGGGTGGGCTCACCTGGCTTTTGGGGGCCTGTGCCTCAACAGACCCAGCCTCAGGAATGCCTGTTCTTTTTTTTTTTTTTTTTTTTTTTGAGACGGAGTTTCGCTCTTGTTACCCAGGCTGGAGCGCAATGGCGCGATCTCGGCTCACCGCAACCTCCGCCTCCTGGGCTCAGGCAATTCTCCTGACTCAGCTTCCTAAGTAGCTGGGATTACAGGCACGCACCACCATGCCCAGCTAGTTTTTTGTATTTTTAGTAGAGACGCGGTTTCACCATGTTGACCAGGATGGTCTCGATCTATCGACCTTGTGATCCACCCGCCTCGGCCTCCCAAAGTGCTGGGATTACAGGCTTGAGCCACCGTGCCCGGCCAGGAATGCCTGTTCTTAGTGGCCCTGGCCAAGCTTCCTGGGACAGTTCTCAGGTGTGTTTTGGTTGTCAGCAAAAATGGACACAAAGACTATACTTGACATTTTCCTTTTTTAGGAAGACCTCACCCGAATTTATTTATTTACTTATTTTTTTAGGAAGACCGACATTTTCCTTACTACAGACCAGCCACAGGCCCTCCTCCGTCTAGAGAGAACCACACTGTCATTTGGTATGCCGGGGACACTGCTACGTGCACCACAGCGAGAACTCACATTCCAGTTCCTTATGGCGGGGTGGCCTCAGGGTGCTCTTAAAGGCAAGCTGAATGAGGACACTGAGCCCCAGATACATCTACAGAGTCCAGGAACTGAGTTCTGGAGTGGGAGGCACCTTAAGAAATCATCTAGACCATGGACAGCAGCAAGAGTTCAGCTGGTGTGGTGCAAACTGAATGCCTGCCACAGAAACACAGGGTTAAGGAATGTTCTGAGGGCAGCTCTGGGCTTGGTGGGAAGGAGTGCCAGAAACGTCTATTTCATGGGGTTCTTGCAGGGTATATGCCTGGTAACTAAAAAATTATGGACAAGCCCCTTTTAGCATTAAAGTCTGAAAAGCTCCCGGCAACATCTGTATTACTGTCGCCTCTCAAACTGGTGAAACTCCAACCTCCCCAGCAGAAGCCACACACCTAGAAAATCATGGTAAAATGAGGGTGTGTGAAAGATGTTCAAAAATCAAGTCTGAACTTACGATACTGTTTGGATGCTTGGAGTCTCTGCCTCATGGAGTAAGTCTTGCCCCTGCCCGCCTCCAGTAAAATGGCGTTGGAAAAGTGAGAGTCCCTGCACCCCCCAATCCTGTGTCTGTGTGTGGTCCTGTCTTGGGGTACGGTCGGGGTGTGTGTGTGTGTGTGTGTGTGTGTGTGTGTGTGTTCCTGCCTTGGGGAAGGGGTGTGTGTGTGTGTGTGTGTGTGTGTGTGTGGTCTCATCTTGGAGCAGGTGTGTGTGCATCTCTCTCTGTGTGTAGTCCCACCTTTGGGCAGGCGTGGGTGTGTGTGTGTGTGTGTGTGTGTGGTTTTGTCTTGGGGGCAGGTGTCTCCGTGTGGGTGCGTGTGTGTGTGTGTGTGTGTGGTCCTGCCTTGGGGCAGGTGTGTGTATGTGTGGGGGGTCCCACCTTGGGGCAGGTGTGTGTGCATGTGGGTGTGTGGTTCCACCCTGGGTCAGGGGGGTGTGTGTATGGTTCTACCTTGGGTCAGGTGTGTGGGTATGTGGTCCCACCTTGGGGCAGGGGTGTGTGTGTGTGTGTGTGGTTCCACCTTGGGTCAGGGGTGTGTGTGTGTGTGTGTGTGTGTGTGTGTGGTTCCACCTTGGGTCAGGGGTGTGTGTGTGTGTGTGTGTGTGTGTGTGTGTGGTCCAACCTTGGGTCAGGGGTGGGTGTGTGGTTCCACCTTGCGGTAGGGGGGTGTGTGTGTGTGTGTGTGGTCCTGAGGGAATGTATTCTCTTCCTGGATCCACAAGGGGACATAGTTTCAAAGGCAAGAACTTCCCAGCACCATACCCACTCCCAATCTGGGGTCTTAAAGGTCTTTGTTTAAGTTTCATGTGCTCAAGAAAGAATTAAAAATCAATCAGTCCAGCAGAAGTTTAAAGGAACTCCTTTCATAGGCCCAGAAAACCTGAAGGGGGCAATTCCTCCCAGGTTAAAAGTCCCTGTCCCCAACATCCAGGCAGACTCCATATCTGGATCCACTTTCACGATCTTGTGAAAGCTTCTCTCTCTCATCTTTTTCTCTTTTTCTCTTTCTCTGCCTAAATAAATCACTTTCTCCAAAACTCTTTGGGGTCTGATATTTACTTGAGGGTGCACTGCACCTGGCGGGGTACTCTCTCCCATTCTTGGGTGAGTGAGAGACCAAGAGCCTGGAAGAATGTCCTCTCAGGGGAGCTGAGCTTCCCCTGCTCCCCGGAATTCTATTACATTCCCGCCTTGGGGCAGGGGTGTGTGTCCCCTGCAGTTTACACCCTGATTGCCAGGCGGTGTTCCCATTCCCAGATGGCCAGTGATCCCACACAGCTTGGTTTGGGCCCTGGGGTACAGAATTCAGCAATTGCAGGTGCTGAAGCAGTTTCGGGAGAACCAAAGGACCCATTTAGCGGCCATCCACTCCTATATGTTTACACCTGGCATCTGGTGGGGCTCATTCCTTCATGCCCTTTTGTGAGGGGCAAGCCTTGGGTCCTGCAGGGAGCTGCAGCTAGAGTGAGACTTGCCTGCCAGCCTGGGTTCTGCCTGACTCCTGGTTACTCTGGCAAGTCACTTCCATTCTTTGGGCTTCAGCTGACTCATGTGGGCAACAGTAAGAAAAGCCCTGAGGGTGAGCGGGTGAGACAGGCAGAGCAAGGCCAATACCATCTTCACATCGGGAAACTAAGGTCTGGAGCAGGAACCTGCCCAAGGTTGCAAGGCATTCATTTCATTTGTCAGTCTTAGGAAAAGGCTAGAGGAGAGGAGGTGCTGGGGGAAGTCCCATGCCATTTGGTGAGAGGTGTAGGTGGGGCAGAAGCCAGCTTTCCTGACTCCTAGTCCAGGGCTGGACTTGAGTGTAGCCACAGAGAGCCACAGCTTTACTCCCTATCTGACAGAGCTGAGTGAGGATGGCCCGGGCCAGGCCCAATCTCCCTCACACAGAAGAGGCAGAGCACCTATCACTGAGAGAGCAGACCTGGCTTCAAGTCCTGGCTCTGCCATTTCAGGGCACTGTGACCTTGGGAGGCTGTTCATGGGGACCCACCATGACCTCTTCTGTAATTTCAGGACAACAGCCTTTGCCCTTCCTCTTCCCCCTGTGCTAACACTTTAGAAGCTCCATGGGGTGGGAGGGTTCATTCCTATGCCCCCTAGACCCATCGCATGGGAGGGACTGCCCCACAGGCTGAATCCTTCATGTCTGGACTGTCTGGGGATGGGAAAGTGAGGCAACAAGGGAGCAGCACTCGGGCCCTACTGGGTCACCCTGAGAGCCGTCCCATTGGAGGTCAGTGGCGCTTTCTGTAGAATGCCAGACTCCCACAGTCATTCCCGGTTTTGTTTTCTGGGACCAGTGGCTGTGCATCAGCCCTCTCTTTCTTTCTGGTCTGGGCTGCACCCTGCACCCTCCCCCACTGAAGGCACCCCTGGCCACCCAGCCCTACTGGGAGATGGCCAGGCTGGCCCCTGGGAGTGCTGGATTACCTTCTCTGAATGTCCATCTCATCAGGAGAGGGGCCATTCTGCACCTGACGCTGGCTGGAGGGGCCTGTGGGTAGAGAAACATAGAAACGGAGTGGTTAGAAGAAGGTAGGCCCCGACAAAACCTCCTGGAGTGCTATCTCTGCCCCTCCTCCTGGCTGCAGAAGAGACATCCTTAAGAATCTTTTAAATGGTGGCCTCACTCACACCTATGCATTATCCAACACATCTCATTCTCTCAACCACCCCTTATCTCTCCGTTTCTCATGGCTCTTCATTCTAAACCAGTAAGACCCAAAATTTCACATGGTTAAAAATCATCCCTTTCAGCCCAGGCATGGTGGGTCACACCTGTAATCCCAGCACTTTGGGAGGCTGAGTCGGTTGGATCATGAGGTCAAGAGATCAAGACCATCCTGGCCAACGTGGAAACCCTGTCTCTACTAAAAATACAAAAATTAGCTGGGCGTGGTGGTGCACGCCTGTAGTCCCATCTACTTGGGAGGCTGAGAAATCGCTTGAACCCGGGAGGCGGAGGTTGCAGTGAACTGGGATCATGCCACTGTACTCTAGCCTGGGTGACAGAGTGAGACTCCGCCTCAAAAAAAAAAAATCATCCCTTTCAGTTATTGGCCCTTCTTGCCTTCCCTCTCAAACTACCTTCTCGCTGTTTCGACCTTCTTGCTGGCCACCATCCCTCAACGCTTTAACAGTGACTCCAGCCTCTTTACCTCCCACCAGGATGTTCTAACTAAAATCACCAGGGAACTGGGAATTGGCAAACCTAAGAAATCTACTTTATTTCCACTTTCTGAGCAAAGGACTGACACTGACTGCTGGTGGATGTCGTGGTTAAAACCCAGGTGTGTCTGAGCTGAGGCCCATGCTTCTAGCCCTAGGGTGACCCCTGCTGTCTGCAAAGGGTGGGAAGGAGCCAGGCTCTGCCATTGCTCCCCTTGTTCTGGACTGGTGTAGAAATTTCTGGCCACACCCTGCCCTGGACCCTGAAGGGGGGACCCCAGCACAGCGTTCAGGGGAGGCTGGAGCTGGGGCCTGTGTCAGGGCTTCCTGTGCTGTGCCACAGTTAAGCTTCAGTGCCCCCACCTGAGAAAGAGCTGACTGTTCCTTCTCTGCCAGCTCAGGTGTCACTAGGGAACTGCAGAGCATTGCAATGACTAGATTGGGCAGCAGCACTGTTTCTGCCTCAGGATGAGGGGACAGGAACATTCGAGCTACAACCACATTGATGATGTAGGGACACCTATGTTCCCTCCTACTTCACAGAGGCCCAAGGTCCTAGTTGTTCTTCCCTCCTTGTTCTTAAGAAATAGAATGAATGAATATGTGAACATTACCAGAGCAATGTCCAGGCACTTTTCTTAACTGAATTTAATTTCCAATTTAACTCAAATTCTCATGAACCTGTAGGAAGGCTCCCCTAAGGACTTGTAACAGCTGGGAAGCCAGGTCCAGAAAAGCCAAATGACTTGCCCAAGGTCTTATGTACAGCAAGTGGCAGATGCAAACCACCTGCAAATGCCACTTTCCTTCTTAAACTCAAGACGGTGGTGTCAGATTGAGACCAGCTTGAAGAACAAAGGATCAAGGTGGCAGACTCATATACTGCCAGAAGAGCTGCAAGCTGCCCTTGGATGGTGTGCAAGGTGCTGTGGACATGTGTTCCCCACCCCTACCCCTCATCCCCTGACTGCCACTCATTCTGGCTGAGGCGGGAGGGATTCCTGGCATTTCAACTCCATGTCCGGGACTTGCACCTGAGCTGCTCTGTTATGAGCTCGGTACAGGCCTTGGGCTCTGGCTTGGATGACTGGACATCTGCCTTGTTCTAAGACCTGGTCTCAGTGGCTGAGTTCACTCCTGGATCTGGATTTCGTCATTCTGGGGGCTAAGTCCCTGTCCTAGTGACCCTTTCTAGCACTTGGTCTGAGGGTTGGCCCTGCCCTAGGATGGAGGCCTTTCCATGGTTGGGCTCTACCAGCTGCCACAGGATCCTTCTGTGTCTGTGGCTTGGCCTTGCCCAGCTCACTGCAACTGTTTTCCACCCATGTCAGGACCCCAGATGGCAGCCAGCTGCCCACAGACGTCTGTGTGGTTGTGTACTTTGAATTCCCCATTCTGCCTGCTGGGCTGACGTCCTCCCAACAGCCTCCCAACTTGTTCCTCAAGAGGGTGGGGAAGTCCAATAGGAGCCCTGGTCCTTCCAGGGGGCTCTGGCCCCTGTACTTAAGACCTAATTAAAAACTGGCTGGAATTTTAGACATGTCAGAGCAGGAAAGGATAACACTTGATTGCACTGATTACATAAAGCTTGCCATTCTTAAACCAAGAAAATGTTCAGTTGTTTTGAGCCATGAGGGTCCTGAACATTAAAGTCAAGTCCCTTTGTTTTAGGGATGGGAGCTAAGGCCCAGCAAAGAGCAGGGGTCTGTCCACTGTCACCCAGAGTAACTGTGACAGACCTGAGGTTCCCACTGCCTCCTTACTCCTGGTCTCCTCCACCCTGGGCACAGCTTTCCCCTGGCAGTCTGGGGGAGGGATATGGAGGAAGGTCATTGCTGCAGACTGCTAGTGGCCCTTGGAAAGCTCCAAGCAGCAGCCCTTTGGCAGGTGCTTCTTTAGCAGGAGTAGCTAAGGAAGGCTCCTAGCTGTTGGTGATCAGACTCCCTCATGTCTAGAGGTGAGGCACTATAGATGACGTCCATGTGTGATGCAGGCAGAAGCTGAGGCGAAGAATGTGGCACCTGTCCCGTGCCACAGGTGAGCCCCTTGGAACCGCCTGAGCTGAGCTTGGATCCCATAGGATCCAGGACGATAGGGATGGGGGTGGTTCTGGCTCTTCCCTCTCTACCTCCCACGGCTCATTAGGTAACTGAGTCTTACTGGTGCTATGTCGGCTGCCCCACAGAATGCCCTGCTTCTCTGCTACCTCCTGGCAGCCTCGGCATCTCTCTCCTGGACCCTCACCTCCACTCTCGTATTCTGGCAGTGCAGCCCAAGTGATGTCTGAAAAACACAGACATGACCTGCACAGGGTTGGACACAGGCTTCATCAAATAAGATTCAAGGCTTTCAGGCCAGGCCCCAGCCCACATTGTGGCTGGGCCTTCTGGACAACCCTCTGCAGCTGACCTCCTGCAACTGCACAGTGGGCCCATCCCCACTATGCTTCCCATCTCTGTGTTTTGTGTGCTACTCAACCCACGTGGGTCACCTTTCCCTGCCATCTCCACCTACCAAGGTTTTCAGGCCTGGCTCAGAGGTCACCTCTTCCATGAAGCCCTCCCCAGGTCCTCATACTCCTCACCAACCAGTGCCTGTGTGCCTCTCTTAAAAACTCACAGCTTTAGCTGGGCGCGGTGGCTCAAGCCTGTAATCCCAGCACTTTGGGAGGCCGAGGCGGGTGGATCACAAGGTCAAGAGATCGAGACCATCCTGTTCAACATGGTGAAACCCCGTCTTTACTAAAAATACAAAAAATTAGCTGGGCATGGTGGCACATGCCTGTAATCCCAGCTACTCACGAGGCTGAGGCAGGAGAATTGCCTGAACCCAGGAGGCGGAGGTTGCGGTGAGCCGAGATCGCGCCATTGCACTCCAGCCTGGGTAACAAGAGCGAAACTCCATCTCAAAAAAAAAAAAAAAAAAAAAAAAAAACAACTCACAGCTTTCTCACCCATATTCCAGTGACTCGGGAGCTGCCTTCTCTTCTGTATTAGACCCTGGATTTCTCACGGACAGAGAGCACATCTCACTCAGCACTCCATGCTCACAGCCTGGCTCACACCAGATACTTGGTATATTCTACTGAACTGAGTTGGGAAGGGGAGAGGAGGTTCAATCTCACCCACCCAAGGGGAAAAGTTCAGGTGAGGGAGTCATGCTGAAATGATTTGAGTGAAAATAAAAACCTAGGAGGTGAGCCACATAGAGATACAGGGGTCCTCCAAGTTCATGCTTGTCCAGAAAGGAGGCAGCAGTGGAATGAAGCCCTGCCAGCACCAGGTACCCTCTGCAGACCAGAGGCCTTGGGGACAAACTAAAGCCACAGAGCTGCTGATCCAGCCATTGTTGCAGGGCTGTGAGTTTCAGACGTCTTCCTGCTAGAGGACCCTGCGGCTCTGCACACAGTGGCAGAGCGTGGAGTCACCTTCCGTGGCCATGAAGTGCCCTCCTTTGTACAGTAAATGTATGGCAATGACGGTCTGCGGATCCCATCTTAATTGTCTCATTCCCAGGAGGTACTAACCTGGGCAGGCAGTGGGCATGAGAGGACCTGGCCTGGGTTCTGCCCAACGCCTGCCCAGCTGTGCATCCCTAGGCAAGCTATCTGTGCCTTCATCTATAAAGTGGTCCTAATACACTAATGCTAGAGTCCTAATATACTAATGTTAATAGTGGTACCTTACCAAACTGCTATGAGGAATAAACTCCAGGAGGAAAAAGCATATGGTAAGCCATAAAGTGCTGGAAATACTTGTTTGCATTACTATTGAAAGCACACTGTTGATCTTTCTGCTTAGTCAGACAGGAACCTGCCTGTGTGCTGGCTTAAGTGGCCCTCTGCCCCTGCAGCCTTGCTGGTGCAGTCCCCTCGGCAGAGAGCCTTCCTCTCCACGGGCTGTGTGCACTCATTGCCCAGCTGTCCCACCACGGCCCCTGAAGCACACAGGATGAGCAGTAGTGGCTCTGAGGGGTGAGGGGACTTGCCCAAAGCCACAGGGTTTGTGACACTGGCCCCAGTGTCCCAAGCTTGTTGAGTCTGGGAGCTGATCTTGCCAAGGCAGGGGTCTGGCCCATTCCCCTGGGACTCCAACAAAGAAAACTCTCACCCTCTCCGACAAATTTTGCCAAGTCAAAATAAAGAGCATGAGATAGGAAACAAGCATGAGAAGAAATTCAAAAATTAAAAAAGAATTTAAAAGAGCCCGTCATGCTACAGACAAATAAAGAGAAAGGGAAATTTCAGGTCCAACATCAAACAAGAGCAGGGTGGCTGTGCGCTCCTGGTGTCATAGGAGTCCAGCCCTTGGTGGCAGGGCTCACCCC